GGCATGATAGAAGTATGCAGGAGCTGATGGAGGCTGACATGAAAGTTCTTCTGAACCTGGGAAGGCTTGCGTTTGAACAACTGAAAGAAAAAAACACAATTTTCTATCAAGAGGACCTGGAGCAGTGTGGTCTGGGGGTCAGAGAGGCCTTGGTGTACTCAGGAGTTTGTACAGAGATCTTTAAAAGAGAAAACTTGATCTCCCAGAAACCAATTTACAGCTTTGTTCATCTCAGCATCCAAGAGTTTCTGGCTGCAGTTTACATTTTCCACTGTTTCACCAGCAGGAACACACAGGTACTAAGGAGCTTCCTGGGAAAAGAGTACAGTGAAACATCTCTGGATGACTTTCTGATTAGAGTTATGAAGGAAACCCTCAAACTAGGAAACAACCACCTGGAAATGTTTGCACGCTTCCTTCATGGCCTCTCTGTTGAGTCTAATCAGAGACTCTTAGGAGGCCTCCTGGGTCAAATGGAGAACAATTCGAAAACCATTAAAAAAATCAGCAACAATCTTAAGGAGATGGAAGCTGATGGACGTTGTCCAGATGCATCTATTAACATCTTCCTCTGCCTGATGGAAATAAAGGACCTTTCAGTTTATCAGGAGGTTAAACAGGTCATGAAATCAAAGAAAAGATCAAAGAAGCTCTCAGAGATCCAGTGTACAGCTCTGGCATACATGCTGCAGATGTCAGAGGAGGTTCTGGAGGAGTTGGACATGCAGAAATACAACACAACAGATAAGGGAAAATATAGACTAATACCAGCAGTAGTGAACTGCAGAAAAGCTCGGTGAGTCTAGGGGCTTCATGTATAAAATATGCCTGTGGAAACAGTATTTGTGGCATAAGGTTTAATCAAACATTCCATTTTTAAAAATGAATATTAAATAAGGGTGTGCTCAGGAGTTCATACACACCCAGGACGCGCCCCACAGCCCCCCACTACACTAAGTGATGGAGCTGATCAAGGGAGCCCATAGAGATCGGTCTGATGGGGATGCAGATGCTGTCTCAAGATTAATATGATCCAACAACAGATCTCTGTGCTGATTGATGCTGAGTTTTTCCTTACTTTTCCAATTCATGAGGATAGTTTTCTTTGCGATACATAACGCAGTGAAAGCCATGCAAACTGATTTTTTTCCCATAGAGCTTCCCTCAAAGTCACCCAGCAAGCAAACTGGAGGGAAAAGTGGGATTTAACAACCCAGGCACAGTGATAGATCCTTACATACCTGTACCCAGAACCTCTGAACTGGCGTGCAGAACCATAACGTGTGAAAATAATTATCAAGTTGATTGCCTGTGCACTGTGAGCAGATGTTAGATTGTGCAAAACCCATCTTGAATAATCTTTGACCTGCATAGTGCACACTGTGGAGGAGTTGGTATTGTATTCATTGTAAATTGGGGTTTCTAGTCATGTTAAAAGTTCTTAGACAATCTGAGCCCAGATGTTTTGTTCAAAGCTGACTGATAAATCCTCCTCCCATTTAGTAATAGGAAGAGATATTGTATCATCCAGTTTAGTCAGTGTCCTGTATAATTTATACCAGACATAGTTTGGGGG